TGTAGGTCTCAGTTGTGGGGTTAAGTTATTATGTAGGTAGGATTCCTTACATTTCCCTTCTCTGTCTCTCTCGTGCGGGCGGCCGACGTCCCGTGTAAGCGACCTCTTGTTCGAGTGTCTTCGTTTCTGTTGCTTTTCACCTGTCCCTCCTTGTCACTTCGTCTCTTTGAGATGCTAACGCTGCTTCCTTCGAGCCAGCTTCAGCGGGCTGGACATCTGAGACCTTCCGCCCCTGTCTCTTATACACATCAGATGTGTATAAGAGACAGGGGTATTAATGGTGAGGGTGATAAGGGAAGTGAGAATGATGAGGGAAGTGAGAATGATGAGGGAAGTGAGAATGATGAGGGAAGTGAGAATGATGAGGAAAGGGAGAAAGATGAGGGAAGTGAGGGTGATGAGGGTATTGGTGGTGGTGGATGTAATTGATGATGAGAGATCAGAGTTGTAATGCTGTACTTTATGCTGTGTTGTGCAGAGGGTGGCACAGAGCACCGCTGCTGTGCACAGCTACACACAGCTGCTGTGCAGGCTGCACCCAACGGTGTCCGTTCCCTCATCCTTGGTGAGTGCTGTATTACGTGTATGTTGTGTTATGTGTATGTTGTGTTATGTGTGCTGTGTACGCAGATACGTGCATGTTACATATCCATTACGTACGCAGATGCTGGCTGCGTGCATGTTGTACGTCTGTTGCGTACTCAGATGCCGGCTGCGTGCATGTTGTACGTCTGTTACGTACGCAGATGCTGGCTGCGTGCATACTGTACGTCTGTTGCGTACTCAGATGCCGGCTGCGTGCATGCTGTATATCCATTACGTACGCAGATGCTGGCTGCTATTGTGCGAGAAACTGAAGTCGTCTCGACTTTGTCGGTCTGACTCATGGTCGGCACTATTAGTCTATATATCGCAACTTTACGACATCGGTTTGACCGGTTGGCGTAATGCCCTCATTCCCGCACGAAATTGTTGGTCCCCCCAGCTAGCCGCCGACTCGTGGCTCGGCGATTAATGTCGGGTCTTCCCACGCTGCAGGAGACGCTGCTGCAGAGCCTGCAGGCGTCGGTGGAGGGGGAGGAGGCCAAGTGGATGTCAGTGGTGAAGGAGAAGGACGACGCCATCCTGCAGATCTCCAAGGAGAATGACAGACTCGGCAGGCTGGTTGCCGATCTGCATCCTGCAGACGTGAGTCTTCTTTCTGACACTCACCACTTACTAAGCTCACCACTCACTACACTCACCAATCATTATACTCACTACTAGTTATAAACTTACCAGTCACTACACTCACCACTCGTTAAACTCACCACACTCACCGCTCACTACACTCACCACTCACTACACTCACCAGTCGTTAAACTCACCACTCGTTAAACTCACCACTCGTTAAACTCACCACTCGTTAAACTCACCACTCACTAAACTATCACTTGCTAAACTCGCCACTCACCATTCGCCACTCTCACGATTCGTGTGGGAATGCCAGTGTGTGATTTTATATTTGAGTGTAGCAAACGCATTACTACGTGGTGTGCCGTACATTATACGTATTACTACGCCGTATACCTGCAACACTGTACCCTAACAAAATTCTGGGATCGCCTAGGCTTCGGCTGAATAGTCACTTTACTCGGCGCAAAGTTATTCTGGGTCTGCTTAGCCACCCTATCGGAATCAGTTTCTGGGCCTATACTTTCAAAAAAAGTAAAGAGCTCGTAAGTTCATCAGCTAATCATTGACGGCCTTTCAAGCCAAATCCACCAATCATAGACAAGAAAATTGAGCGTAAGTACTTACGTTCACTTAGCGAATTTTGAAAGTATGGCCCCTGGTCAGAATCTCCCATCCGACTTTATAGTCGCCTGAGAGTACAATAAGGGTTGGCCGAGCCTATAGTCATACCGCGCCAGCAAACTGCCCAGAGGCTGACAATTGTCACTCATTCCTAGCTCCCGCGACAGAATGGTTTATGCATTCATTAGCCTAAGTGAATCAGAGCACCGAACATTGCTGGTTCAGAACATCGAACATTGCAGGTTCAGAGCACCGAACATTCCAGGTTCAGAGCACCGAACATTGTAGGTTCAGAACATCGAACATTGCAGGTTCAGAACATCGAACATTGAAGGTTTTGCCCGCCGTCGTGCTGCAGGTAGCGGCTATCCGCGTTCTGCTTGCCATTTAAAAAAATTATCGTTTTTTGTTTGTACAGAAATTGTAAAAAGTTCTGCTCATGCTGCGTGTTGTGATGACATTTATATGCTTGCATCGTACGTGGATTACGTATGGCTTACATATGGCTTACGTATGGCTCACACATGACTTACATTTGACTTACGTATGGCTTACACTATGGCTTACATATGGCTTACAGGTTGTGTCCATATGTTATGACTGATAAGAAACGTACAGTCAGAGAAATGAGCAAGGCTTTGTCCGAAATAGCGACGCACTTTATGCCCCGGTGTAGCAAATAGGCTTATAACAGCTACGTCCGCTCGTGCTGCCGATGAGATCGCGTTACTATTCGGACAATACCTATGACCCGTTTGATTTCCTGAGTGTATGGTTTGTTTATTTGTGGTGGTGGCGAGAAGATTATATGCCTTTATACATGCCCTTATAAATTATATATGCCTTTATACATGCCCTTATAAATTATATATGCCGTTATATATACGCCCTTACATATTATATGTTATATACTTATACACCTATTTGCCCTTGTATATTATGTGTTTTGCCCTTATATATGCTCTTAAATATTATACGTTATTCTCTTATATACGCCCTAATATATTATATGTTATTTATATCAATAGATGCTCTTCTGTATATCAATGTAAACCATGGCATCTATAGTTGTAAAATATACACACATATGAATACTGTCAAAAAATAACGAGACGTTGTATCTAATGAAGTGATTTTTTTTTATGATTTCATTGTTTTTCCTTCACCAATCCATACTGTCGAAAAATATCTGCAGATGTTCACTTTGATATTTATTGATGTTTTTGAAGTTGAATGCTTCCTTCCCTAAATGGCGTGCGATTTCAAAGGGTCCTCTGCCTTTCATAAATTATTTTTGTTTTGAAAAAAAAGGAAAATTGCGCCTTTTTTGATTTTGTCAAATTTAAATATCCAACTTATCTCCGAGTTTTGCTTCTAAATTTTGTGCAGTGAAAAAATGTTACAAAACTCGCTTGCTGTGCTTCTTGTCTATCGCGTTTTTGCAAACAACCAATTTAACGCCAGTTTACCTTTAACCTAATTCTTGTTATCCATTAATCTGAAGTCTATAGAAACTCAGCTGTCTGTAATTCGCCATTATTTAATCCTCATTTACTGGAATATATAATATATATGGAATAATACAACTGATGATGGAGCTGGACTCCGAAACGTTTTCCTTTTCAATAAATGGTCAGTTTTCTGGCTATTTTCTTTGCATTTAAATTCTTGATAATCTTACGATTTAAGCAGTCAAGTGATTTTAATACTTATCTATTCCATATACTAGTTCTGAATGTCAGTGAATGATAACTTATTATAAGTAATAATTATTTATAATGATAAGTCTTCAAGAAATGGTGAATTTTCTGGTTATTTTCTTTGCATTTAAATTCTTTATAAACTTGCGATTTAAGCAGTCAAGTGATTTTAATATTTATTTATTCCATATAATACGTAGTTCTGAATGATAACTTATTATAAGTAATAATAATCATTATTACTTAATATAATAGTAATAATTAATAATAGAAAGTATTATAATAGTAATTATAAATAATATAATAATAGTAACTTATATTTATAATGATAACTCTGTGGTCCTGCAGCAGCAGCAGGAGCTGCAGCGCGTGAAGGAGGAGAAGGAGCAGCTGCTACAGGAGCTCGCCGCCCTACGCCAGAAGGTGGGTTGTTCACGACTGTCTTGTGTGGGTCATCCTGACTCAGTTTGGCGCGGCTTAAGTGCGTATCTGTGATACGCTCCGAAAGTGTCTCACTAATTGGACAATGTTATCCATTCATTTTTTTTCAGTGTATTACTCCATATATATTTTACCATTTTTAATTATCCCAATATTTTTAGCGCATTTCCTCATTTATGAACAAAATGCACTATTGTGCTCGCCATGTCCGTCCGTCCGTTTGTCCGTCCGTGACTTCATGTTTTCGTCGACGAGAAAATGCGCGCTCTGTCACTCACTGCAGTGAGTACTGAGTTATATTTTTTACGATTATGTTGCGTTACTTGCAAGAGAGAAAACTATGTACGCAAATACGCAAAACTGCAGCATTAATTTCTTGATTCTTCGTGTATACTTTATTATTATCATCAAAGATTATCATATCAGCCGAGATTATTAAAAGTTTTGACTGCGTGATGTGTGGTGTAAAATTCGTGTATATTTTGTTATTATATATGATTAATTATCAGTCGAGATTATCAAAAGTTTTGACTTCGTGTTGCGTGGTGTTTCCGTGATGGCTATGTCGGGGTTGGTGTTTGTGCGTGTAAGTGAAAATTTTTATGTGTGTGTAAGTGAAAGCATGGTCCGTGATGTGCGTGTAGTTCGTGTAGCTGTGAGACATACTCTTGTTTCGTGGACTGTGCAGCGGGGATTTTAAAGCGTTAAGTAGGTGTGGATTATTCGTGTAGTTCGTGACAAACTACACATTTGTGTAGTTTGTGTGGCTGACACACTTGTTCTTGTTGGCCGATGGTATTTTCGTATTAGTTTGCTATTTGATCTTCACCCCATTTGTGTGGTTAAGTTGTGTAGGCAGGTCTAAGTTGTGGGGTTAAATTATTATGTAGGCAGGATACCTTAGATTAAGTTATTATGTAGGTAGGATTCATTAAATTTCCCTTCTCTGTCTCTCTCGTGCGGGCGGCTGACGTCCCGTGCAAGCGACCTCTTGTTCGAGTGTCTTAGTTTCTGTTGCTTGTCACCTGTCCCTCCTTGTCACCTGTCCCTCCTCGTCACCTGTCCCTCCTTGTCACCTGTCCTTCCTTGTCACCTGTCCTTCCTTGTCACCTGTACTGTGCAGCGGGGATTTTAAAGCGTTAAGTAGGTGTGGATTATTCGTGTAGTTCGTGACAAACTACACATTTGTGTAGTTTGTGTGGCTGACACCTTGCTCTGGTTGGTCGATGGTATTTTCGTATGAGTTTGCTATTTGATCTTCACCCCCATTTGTGGGGTTACGTTGTGTAGGTAGGGCAATTGTGGGGTTAAATTATGTAGGTAGGATTCCTTACATTCCCTTCTCTGTCTCTCTCATGCGGGCGGCCGACGTCCCGTGTAAGCGACCTCTTGTTCGAGTGTCTTCGTTTCTGTTGCTTTTCACCTGTCCCTCCTTGTCGCCTGTCCCTCCTTGTCACCTGTCCCTCATTGCCAGCTGTTCCTCTTTGTCACCTGCGAGCTATCCCTTCTTGTCACTTCGTCTCTTTGAGATGCTAACGCTGCTTTTTTCAAGCCAGCTGCAGCGGGCTGGACATTAGAGACTTTCATGCACCCTTTGTGGATGATGAATGATTTCGATTCGATAAATTTATGATGATTGAGACCTTCCGCCTCGTTGGGGATTTTGTGATGACTTCCGATGATAGCTAAATAACTGAAGCGTTAGGAATTTGGTTACTATTTGGCCCCTGTTACCCAGTAACAGTCGTGACAGGTGCGCATTCGCAGTGCAGCAACACGCCTGCTCACGGCGCAGTCGTGTTTCTCTTGCATAATCTGGTATGATGGTCACACAAATGGTGAACAACAGCTTCTAAGATGGCGCAAGTGGTGTTGAAAATATGGTTGCAGTGACGCTAGAAATTGGATTGAACAACCAGCTGCTGTGACGTCTAAACTGAATGTTGACTACGGTATACGACCGTAGTCGGGAGCCGCAAATCTAAAATCTGCCTCAGATTGTTATTTTTCACGCCGAAAACGCCGTTTAGATTTCTGATTCGTTCAGTATCTGCCCCGCTTTGGATTCGTGATGTGGGTTTGCATATGCGTTGCGTTTACGCAGCTCTGATGACATCATTTTGGTAGAGGGTTGAGAGAGATACGCTATCTCGCTTGTTGATCGCAGGCAAGTAGGACAAGGTTTAGGATCCGGAAATGGTATACATACTAAGTTACCGTAGCCATTTGTAGCTTGCTGCTGGTTACCAGCTGTAGGTTGCTACTAATTACCCATGCCATTTGTAGATTGTTGCTGGCTAACAGCTGTAGCTTGTTACTAGTTGATACTGATAGCTAATCACTTGTAGTAGCTTGTTCCTGGCCGTCAGTTACGCTGTTGACCGAGAAGTAGCTAGGCAATCCTTCACCACTAATTTGGCTGGCGTCAGCTTGTGCTGGTACCTGTTTAGTATGACCATCTGTCAATTTGACCACCTGTCTAGCATGACCACCTGTCAGTTTGACCATCTGCCTAGCATGACCACCTGTCAGTTTGACCACCTGCCTAGCATGACCCCGACCTGCCATGTCCCCCGTAGGCCGGTGAGGTGACGTCGCTGCGAGCGCTCGTGGCGGAGGGCGTGGACGCGGGCAGGCAGCAAGAGCAGCTCATAGAGCAGCTGCAGGCGGCGCTACATGCCAAGGTGTGTCGTGGTCCTCATGGGCGTGTTGCAGTCTAATTTTATTATTGTGGTATCTTCTGGTATCTGGTAATCGTGTTTGGTATCTACTGGGGTCTGGTGGTCATGTTTCTTATCTACTGGGGTCTGGTGGTCATGTTTCTTATCTACTGGGGTCTGGTGATCGTGTTTCTTATCTACTGGGGTCTGGTGATCGTGTGTGGTATCTAATGGGGTCTGGCGATCGTGTTTGGTATCTACTGGTATCTGGTAATGGTGTTTGGTTCTTATTGTTATCTGGGAATGTTTGTGATTGGTATGGTTAGGGTTGGTATTGGTTAGTATCTATCAACCCGTATCTGGGGTTGGGTTATACGGGTACATTATGATATCTGATACTGATATCTGGTAATCCTATTTGGTAGCTACTGGTATCTAGTATTCGTGTTAGGTACCTGGTATCTTGTATCTTGTACTTTTTATCTAATAGCCACAGACATTTATTTCCTTTCTTTTAGGCCTAAAGGGTAGTTATTCTTTGTGTTTAGTACATGTGGCAAGCGGTACTTGAAAGACGTGGTAGGTGTAAAAAATGTATCCCTGATACTCTTTGATTGTGGTGTATGTTGGTATTACTATATAGACATATAGTAATAGACATAGTAATCTCGTGGAGTGTTGTGCGTGTAGGAATAGGTGGTGTGTGTGTGGGTGTTGTTTAGTATTGTTTGTTATATGTTATGTGACAATTATTCGGTAATATTGGTTGTTATACGAGTGCGCGTGTGTTATTCTTTTATATCGGTCGTTATACGAGTGTGTGGGCGTTTTGTGATTAGTGTGGGTTGTATAATTGTGTAATTAGATTTTATATATTATTTTTACATGCGTGTAGTTGTGTTGCTCCTGAACTAACTGCAGTGACTGTAACAAGGCATTTATGAGGCAAAAAACTGAAAAAAATATGAAGGTAATTCGTGCTAGTTACGATGAAAACGTTCATGTTCATAAGTTCATGAACGCATTTATAAGTAATTCATTAAAATTCTGCACAAATATCGACAAGAAACACCGTGGTTTAAATACAGAGGAATTAGGCAGAGAAGTTTCTATGTTAACCATAACAAGCTGCTGCGAGCAAAAGTTTATTAAATTTAAATTTTTATTTTAATATATATACATAAGGACTCTAAAATTCCGTTATTGGAAGCAGATAAGGCAGAAGCTGATATTCTATGTACACAATTTTTCCCTAGGGAAAAATTGTTGCATTGTTCGACTTTAAAGCTTACGTCTGAATGTGGAGGGAGCGCAAATAGATTACTAGTGCGATAACTCCTACTGCTATGCTTACCGACTCCAGTATAGAACTTAACTACACCAAAAAATGTCGATATGTATTGCATGAAACTTTATTTAAGAACTAAAAACAGCAAGTAGAGATTAATAGAGTCCTCACACTTGTAGAAAGAACCAATTAAAAAAATAATCCATTAATGATACAACCTATAATACTATAATATATACCATAAATATGGGTAACTACTTTTGTAACCGTTTTCTTTCCTTCTTTCTTGTTTATTTTTTAGTTATTTAAGTTATTTGTTCTCAAATTTAATTTAAAATTCATACAAGCATTTGATCTCATGCTATTGGTAAATGCACTGTGCAACAACTTCTGCCAGTTTGAACAAAAATTGGCCTCTTACTTGTGGTTCCTTTAATTGAATCCTGGGGATTGTTGGTAAGCTGAACAGAAATGTAAATGCTTTATTGAATATTAGAGGAGCCAATTCCAATTTACAGCCGCCATGCTACAATGAACGTCGATGTTGATGTTCTCAAGCGGAGAGAGGCTACCACTATACAGACATAACAGTATTAAAAGAGAATTTATTGTTGTGTGACGAATGAAAGCACGTACAATTATTGCAATTGGGGCAGACTTAACCTCCTATCTATTGCTGTTGGTTATTGGATGAATTGATTTAGCAATTTTGTGTTCACAACAAAATATACATACTCTAAAAATTTCCTAGACCATTCTTCCTTCCAAGTTCTTTGATAAAATCACAATAAAAGCTGTGAAAGCTCTGAAGCTGTCTCTTATACACATCTAGATGTGTATAAGAGACAGACCATGACCCACTTGCTGTACCATGACACACTTGCTGTACCATGACACACTTGCTGTACCATGACACACTTGCTGTACCATGACACACTTGCTGTACCATGACCCACTTGTACCATGCCCCACGCTGCAGGAGACGCTGCTGCAGAGCCTGCAGGCGTCGGTGGAGGGGGAGGAGGCCAAGTGGATGTCAGTGGTGAAGGAGAAGGACGACGCCATCCTGCAGATCTCCAAGGAGAATGACAGACTCGGCAGGCTGGTTGCCGATCTGCATCCTGCAGACGTGAGTCTTCTTTCTGACACTCAACACTCGCTACACTCACCACTCGTTAAACTCACCACTCACTACACTCACCAGCCGTTAAACTTATCACTCGTTAAACTCACCTGTCGTTGAACTCACCACTCGTTGAACTTACCACTCGTTGAACTTACCACTCGTTATACTCACCATTCACTAAACTCACCATTCACTAAACTCACCACTTACTACACTCAGCACTCGCCACTCTTACGATTCGTGTGGGAACGCATAGAGTGCATACCAGTGTGTGGTTTTATATTTGAGTGTAGCAAACGTATTACTACGTTGTATGCCGTACATTAGACGTATTACTACGTGGTATGCCCTACATTAAACCAATTACTACGCCGTATACCTGCAACACTGTACCCTAACAAAATTCGGGGACCGCCTAGGCTTCGGTCACTTTACTCGGCGCAAAGTTATTCTTGGTCTGCTTGGTCACGCTATCGGAATCAGTTTCTGGTCGGAATCTCCCATCCGACTTCATAGTCGCCTGAGAGTACAATAAGGGTTGGCCGAGCCTAGTCATAGTCATACCGCAAACTGCCCAGAGGCTGACAATTGTCACTCATTCCTAGTCACCGAGACAAAATGGTTTATGCATTCATTAGCCTCAGTGAATCAGAGCACCGAACATTGCTGGTTCAGAACATCGAACATTGCAGGTTCAGAACATAGAATATTGCAGGTTATTATTATTAAAAGAATGGTATATCCATTGTTCATAAATGTTACTATTCAGAAATGCCAATTTTCAATTAGTTCTGTGTCTTCATGTTTTAGTACACACAGATGTATACACATGTGGGGACTCCTACATATTTGTAATCATATCCTGAAGGCATTGCTTCTTAATTTTTGTTATGCGCTTTTAATGCTACATTCTAGTCCTAACAATCAATTGCAACTAACAATTATAATTAATTGTGTTATTGTTCTTCTTATTGCTGCTTGCGACCTCCTCCCCAACTCCTACACCACGTCTCCCCTTCTAATCTTTATATTATCTTATCTTAATTATTTATTATCTATCTTAATTATCTAATTGTTATGTTTCCTTCAAGCCATTATTCATGTATAAATTATATATCTATATTTTTGCTATTTTATTTTTCTCTGTACAATTTGCATGGCTCCTTGTCCCTAAATGTCGTCCTTATTGCTTCATTTTTTTATTGTTTATTGTCTGTGACTCATTTTTTGCCTTTTGCATTTCAAGTATTTTTTTATTATTTGTAAACCATTCTTCTTTTAACTTTTTTTTCCTATTTTTACCATTGGTTCTTATTCATTCATTTTTTAAAACAATTTTTGTTTAATCCCTCAATATGCTCTTGACTCTGCCAACATTTACCTTTACTCCCCCATCATCACCCTCAACTCCCCCAACAACAACAGTCCCCAACAAAAGAGGACTCGATGTGTGCGAGCCTCATGTCCTTGTCCTCAGCGTCCTCCCCCTCCTCCTCTTCCTCTCCTCACCTCCTCCCTAATCCCCCTGTCTCTTCCCCTATTTCTTCCTCTTCTCCCCAACTCCCCGCCACCTCCTCATCCTCCTCTCATAAGAAGAAGAGAAGCAAGGTAAGTGACAAGAAGAATCAAAATATTAACATTACTTCCATGCTTTGATTTATTTCAATACGATTTGGTTTTTTTACTTCCAACATCTCAGTACAGCAAAACAACATAGAAATTTACTTTAAATACCTACCTCACTAAATTATTATTAACACAACATAGAAATAGACTTTAAAAATACCTCACTAAGGTATTATTTAATAAAGTGAATATATGGACAAATTCATGAGTTTGTGATGATGGCTGCTTAACAGAATTAGACTAGTAGACTCAGGGGACGTAGACTAGATTAGTAGACTCAGGGGACGTAGACTAGACTAGTAGATTCAGGGGACGTAGACTAGACTAGTAGACTCAGGGGACGTAGACTAGACTAGTAGACTCGGGGGACATGGACTAGACTAGTAGACTCGGGGGACATGGACTAGACTAGTAGACTCGGGGGACATGGACTAGACTAGTAGACTCAGATGACGTGGACAAGACTAGTAGACGCAGGAGATGTAGACGTAGACTAGTAGACTCAGGGGATGTAGACTAGACTAGTAGACTTGGGGGACATGGACTAGACTAGTAGACTCTCGGGACATGGACTAGACTAGTAGACTCAGATGATGTGGACAAGACTGTAGACGCAGGAGATGTAGATGTAGACTAGTAGACTCAGAGGACGTAGACTAGACTAATAGACTCGGGAATATTGATCAACTTCTTCCTTACACTTGTCATGTTCTGGCCATGATTTTGTTCCACACAAATTGAAAATGTCTCGGTGAATGGCCGGTTCTAGTAAACCTTACAGGTAGTTTCAGTGTCATACCTATTAAAATATTAGGCAGCATAGACTGCTGAACTCGTTTCAAAAACCAGCTTCATTTCCTCATTTCTTCTTTAGGCCATCAATTAACATTCCACTGTTTTTCTTTGTTAAAGATTTGCTTGCAATCAACTACACAACATTACAATTATGCATTAATATGTATGATTTCTTATCAGCCGTTATAATGAAATTAGATTATCTAATGACACTGGAAATTGTTCTTGGCTCACTTGTACCTCAAGATTCAGATGACCAAGTTGATAAACAATAAATGCCATGTTGGCTTTATTAAATTATTCTTAATTTATTATATAGAATTCAAGTAGCAAATAATAAGCTGCTGGAAGTATATAGAGGAATATTCATCAACTGGCCTTCATCATGCAATTGCCCCACTATTGCTTCAGCTGGTTGATCCGAACATCAAGTGCAGAGATCCTAGTTTGGGACTCCTTAGTGGCACATCACTAGACCAGCAAATTAGTTACTTAGTGACAGCTGACACACTTGACTATAAGTGGCCCATCACTAGACCAGCCAATTAGTTACCTAGTGACAGCTGACACACTTGACTGTGACTGGCCCATCAGTGGTCTCAATTAGTTACCTAGTGACAGATTGTGCTTGTTGTCATTATTTTAATTATAGTGATTGTAGTTAACTATAGTTGATTTTAACATAAACAGACAGAATTATGTAAAATTTCATGAGATTAGAATACTTGTAAAAAACATTGCTATTGACTAAAATTAATCAATATCATTGAAATGGAAACTAAGAATTGATGAATCTTATTTAATTCAAAATAACATTTAAAGTAAAACTGACTTAACTCCTATCACGGCTCAGGGCTTCATCAGCAAATTGCTTCACCGCAAGTCCAGCGGCCAGGTACTGCCTTCTGTTGTCCTTTGTTATCCTCAGCCTGCACCACCTTGTTCTGTTGTCCTCAGCCTGCACCACCTTGTTCTGTTGTCCTCAGCCTGCACCACCTTGTTCTGTTGTCCTCAGCCTGCACCACCTTGTTCTGTTGTCCTCAGCCTGCACCACCTTGTTCTGTTGTCCTCAGCCTGCACCACCTTGTTCTGTTGTCCTCAGCCTGCACCACCTTGTTCTGTTGTCCTCAGCCTGCACCACCTTGTTCTGTTGTCCTCAGCCTGCACCACCTTGTTCTGTTGTCCTCAGCCTGCACCACCTTGTTCTGTTGTCCTCAGCCTGCACCACCTTGTTCTGTTGTCCTCAGCCTGCACCACCTTGTTCTGTTGTCCTCAGCCTGCACACCTTGTTCTGTTGTCCTCAGCCTGCACCACCTTGTTCTGTTGTCCTCAGCCGTCACCACCTTGTTCTGTTGTCCTCAGCCTGCACTACTTTGTTCTGTTGTCCTCAGCCTGCTCTACTTTGTACTGTTGTCCTCAGCCTGCACTGCAATGTAAAAATGAATAAAGACTAAAAAACTTTAAAATTAATGATACAAATTTTTTCTGGTTACAAGGGTTTTTGTATCTTAGAATTTTTTTCATTTCATTAACACATTAACTGCCAGCATATGGCGTTCATTGAAAGCTTGTTTTGTACCACTGGTGGTACATGTGGTGGTTAACATGTTAATTACCTTGTTTACAATAATCTCTGATTCAGTCATTTGTTCAGAAGTGCCCGAGTTATTCTCATGTTGATCAGAAATGTGTTATCATGACACCCATGTGCTTTCCTTCATGTCTTTACCCTTATTTTGTACTTACCTTAATTAAATTCATTTTTACCATGCCCCTACCTTACCCTTATCTTGTCTGTAGTGATGAGATACTTGCTGTCACTTTGCACTTAACTATCGCAGCCACCATTTACTGCTTGTTAATGTTTTATTCTTGCAGTCTTCATCCAGTCACACTTTATTTTTACGCTAGTATCCCATTTTTGTAATTTTTTTCTTCTTGCAAGAAAGAATGGATTGCAAACTTGATATTATGTGCCTCTTGCTTTTTAACTGCTGATGTATGACCAGTTTGTTGTAATGTGGTTAGTCACTTATGCTGCAACTTCACAGCTAGTGTCAACATTCACTATCACTGCACCACAATTCACTATAGTGTGTTATTTCAAATAACTGTTTTCAAATGTCATGTCAACCATCATGTTTGACATTGTCATGCCTGGGTATATAGACATAACATGTACACTTGCAGAGCAAGCATAACTTCTATAATATATGTATAACTATATGTAACTATAATATGTATAACTTCCAATACAACAGTCTCAAAGATATCAAATAATTATAAATTTGCATCTACTAATTCCTAAATTTATTCCCTAATTCCCTAATTGCTTTTTCAATGTGCAATTTGATACTCAAAACTGAGTACTGGTACAGCATTTATTAGCAAGATAATTTATTAATAATGATTGTGTTTCAGTTGCTATTTCAATGAGACTAATGCAAATAATGAATGATGTCATGGGAGGTAACTAAGAAACGGTGATTATAATGCAAACAACAGCGATAACAATCATGCTAAGTGGCAACATGTTCACTCTTACATACATTCTCCTTACTTGGGAAGGCTTTTGTATGAAGCACTTGAAAGTGTAAACACCACATTTATGATGGGTAATTATTTCTGTGTGTTTAGCGCATTTTCTCATTTATGGAAAAAATGCATTATTGTGCTCACCATATCCGTCTGTCTGT